AGGAGGAAAGGAAGGAAGGAAGGAAGGAAGGAAGGAAGGAAGGAAGGAAGGAAGGAAGGAAGGAAGGAAGAGCTATCGTGGTGCACTGGTTAAAATGCAGTATTGCAGGCTATTCTGCCCACTACTAGGAGTTCAATCATGACCAACTCAAAGTTGACTCAGCCTTCCATCCTTCTGAGGTCAATAAAATGAGGACCCGGATTGTTGGGGGCGCTGACTCTGTAAACCGCTTAGAGAGGGCTGGAAAGCACTCTCAAGCAGTATATAAATCTAAGTGCTACTGCTATTTATTTAAGTATGAAGAGCAGCTGTAAGTCATACTACCCAACTCAACGCCGTGGTAACTCTGAAGGGTCACTCAATGAATGGCTCTAAGTCGAGGACTAGCTGTAGGGGTGCTCCTCCTGGAAATTGCGCTAAACAGCCTTTGGTTGAGGTTTATCCCATGAAGGACGGTGTGAGGTCTTTTTTTTTTCTCACCCGATATTAAAAGACCCCGTGGGTTTTACCCATCCAAGCAGAAGAAGGGAGTCAGAATAGAAGTGGTCCTTCAAGGAGGTTCAGAGGGGAATGACAGAATGTGTGGAATCAGGTTAAAAAGAAAGCCAGCAACTTTAGTAGTAAAAGGAGGAAATCCATGCAAGATGCAATGATCAAAGCTTGGTGATGGCTTGACATTGTCTTCAGGATAGGAGCCCTTTGTCTCTCGAAACTAATTGCAAATAAGTGCTAGGGAAGAACATGAAACAGATTGCCTAAGGAGGGATCCAGAGGGGTCTTTCTATTCCCCGAAGGTAGCAAATGAGTGCTTTCTACTGCAGGGCTGCTGATGGAAATCAAAGTCTATTTTGTCATGCTTATTGAGCGAAGGTGATGCTTCAACGGGGAGGGAAGTCTCGGACCAAAATGCACAATCCTTCCTCAGCTGGTTGCACGTGGAGTTTTCCAACAATATTTAACAGAATAACAGAGTTGGAAGAAACCTTAGAGGTCTTTGAGTCCAAACCTTGCTTAAGTAGGAGATCCATTCCAGACAAGTGGCTGTCCAGTCTCTTCTTAAAAGCCTCCAGTGATGAAGAACCCACAACTTCTGGAGGCAAGTTGTTCCACTGGTTAATTGTTCTCACTGTTAGGGATAACATTGTTTACCCTAACTGGTTTGGGTAAAAAATAATAAATAAGTTATCATGGTTTGTTGGTTAAAGTGTGTGTAACTTTAACTACAAGAATGTAATTAAGGGTGTGGTTGTAAAAGCACCATAAAAGAAGCAAGTCAATTGCAGCTCTCTCTCTCTGGCTTAATGATCCCTAATTACTGGATGGATTGATGACTGCGTTTTTCCTTACTGGAACGGAGGAGAGAAAGGAGTGTTGATTTCTCAACGGAGAGAAGAGATAATACGGACTGATTTATTGTAAGTGAACTGACATTGGCTATTCAACACGGATTTTGCAAATTGAGTATCCCTGACTGGACTGACTGAAATGATACATGACTAATGGACCGTTTATTTTGACTATGCTATAATTCCTAATGGAATAAACTATATTTTTGATAGCACAAGCGTATCTGTATTTTTTTACTGCGTGTTAACTAAAATACAAACTTATCTCACACATTTACCTGTCTGCCTATCTGACTACGCTACACATTCTGTTTAGTTTGTTTTCCTTAACACTCGTTGGGGAATTCAGGCTTAACACTCACCATTAGGAAGTTTCTCCTTAATTCCAGGCTGCTTCTCTCCTGGATGAGTTTCCATCCATGGTTCCTTGTCCTGCTTCCAGGTGCTTTGGAGACCAATAGAGTTGCAAGGGACCTTGGAGGTCTTCTAGTCCATCCCCTGCTCAAGCAGGAGATCCAAAACCATTTCAGACTAGTGGCTGTCCAGTCTCTTCTTAAAAGCCTCCAGTGATGAAGAACCCACAACTTCTGGAGGCAAGTTGTTCCACTGGTTAATTGTTCTCACTGTCAGGAAATTTCTTCTTAGTTCTAGGTTGCTTCTCTCCTTGGTTAGTTTCCATCCATTGTTTCTCATGTGGCCTTCAGGTGCTTTGGAAAAGAGGTTGACCCCCCTCTTCTTTCTGGCAACTGCCTAGATATTGGAAGACTGCTATCATGTCACACACACACACTCACCAGTCCTTCTTTTCCTTGAACTAGACATAGCCAATTCCTGCAACAATTCTATATATGGTTTACCCTCCAACCCCCAAAAGAGTCTCACTGTCTTTTTTATATGGTGGGGACCAAAACTGGATGCAGTACTCCAGGTGTGGCCTTACTAAAGGCTTTATAACGCAGTACTAACACTTCACATGACCTTGATTCTATCCTTCTGTTGATGTAATCTAGGATTGAATGGTTTTTTTTAGGGGTGCATGGAACATTTCTCCAACTGTTGAAGGTGTGTTTTATATAGCAAGCTTGGTTACTCTTCCTTGGTTAGAAACAGGTCCAAGATCTTTAAGGCAACTTCAAGGCTGGCCATCGTAATGTCTTCTTGTTTTGTTCTGTCTAGAGGCCAGATGGGTTTCTGACTTCATCAGCCACAAATGGACTTCCCGTCCTGGATCCAGAGTTGGTGGGAGAGCTCGGGACAATCAAGGAACCGTGGACAAGGCCAACTTCCAAAACTGAACAGAAGACTACTTCGGCTAGAGAGTCTGTGAGTGATTTCTTTTATTTTATTATGGTCCTCGCTTCCTAGCAACGTCATAGAGCGAAGCTCTCTTTAACTGTGAAAACAGTAGAAATCATGACACCCTTGTAATATCTGTTTCCAAGAATAAGCAGCAGGGTGGCTTGCAAAGAGGTAGGTTCTTAAAACATACAATTTATGGGCTAACCCAACCTCAGAATCCCAAAACAGTAGCTTGATTGGCATGCAGTGATTGCAAAACAGAAGAATGCAGCAACTCTACCAGATGCTTAAACGCTATCTGTTTCTTGTAGCTCAAATGTCATAGGTTCATCCATGTTGGAGACAGTAATATCTTTGGGTCATTAAATAGACACCAAGGCCCATCCCTTCCACCATCTCTCCAAGTCTGTTGGAGTCTCCTGGTCCTTCTCTTCTGTTCTTCACCTTCTTTCTTCCCTTATTCAGGAAGAAACTAGAGAGAATAAATGATGCCCTGGATGATTTTGTGAATTGGTGAACCCAAGGGACAGGAAAAATCAATGGGTGTTAACAACCATGACCAATTGCAGATGAGATCTATTTGTAGATGAAGAGCATCTTGTCCATCCCCCATCCCCCCCCCCCCCCGAATTATGTCAACGTTAAGGGATGGGTTACCCCAAAACTAATTTCAACTATGGATTTGATTGAGATCATCCAATCAATTTAAGCCAATTAAAAAAAAGGTTCTACAGGTATATAGCATGCATGTTTGGAAGTTTCCACCCACTGATAAATCCATCTGAATGTCTCCAGTCCACTTTGGTGTCCTGAACTGATTTGGTGATTTGATTCCAAATTGAGAATGAGACCCCTCTAATCCAATCTTCGAATTGAATTTTCCAACAGTTTGAGAAATTCCTGCCTGTCCTCATTCTGAGAAGTAACTTGGCTGCTAAGTTTCAAGGCTTTCAGCAAGATGATGAGTATTTGATTGTGAACCCATTTAGTGCATTGCTGGCTATTACAGCTACATTATCTCTAGACCTCAGGCCCACTTCCAGCTCATAACTGTCAGCTCTGTGACCATAAGACTGACATCAGCAAAACCTGGACATGGATAAAATCATTTCATTGGGCTTCCAGACTGACCACTGGCTAAGTGAAGGCCTTGGGGTGTTCCATCAATCTTAATGTAAGAAACAGACACAAAAGGAACAAGGCATTAGAGCTCAACTATTCCATATCTTGGTGGACTATCTAGTTGGGTGTAGAACATTGGAAGGACCCAGAGAGAAAGCAAAGAGAAGGTGGCTGTTAGATAAAGCTTAAAAAGATTTCCACTGCAATTTATTTCCCCCATGTAGATCAAGATCTTTGGTGTTTCCATAAAGTTGGGTTGGGTGTAATCACTATCCGGCTTAGATTTTAGCAGTAGCGAAACAAAGGGGGCACGATGGAAATGAAATTAAAAGTTGGGTGAAGGAAAACAGAAAAGGGGAGAGTTGGAGACAGATGGGCTGTGTGTAGAAGTAGCAAATTTCCAGCCAACGTTGACAAGATCTTCAAGAGCCACACATGTGGAGCCTTCTGGTAAAAACTGCGATGATGAAAAAAATGGGTAAAACATGAGTCAACACAACAGCCATCTTTTCCTAGTTGTGTCCTAGCATCGGATGCAAATATGTGTGAGTCAAGGATTTGCAGCACTACACCACAATGTAGGTGTTACTGCTTTTCCCTTTGTGCCTCCCTAGCTCTTCTACAACTCAGTTAGCAAGGGAGCTACTATTGGGTGCAACCTACCAGTATAATATTCAGGGTGGGGGGCTTCCCCTTTAAATGGCCTACATCCCCCCATGAAAGTTTGAGAAATTTATTTGGCCTTTTTTTTTTTCACTCCTTTGAGTGACAAAAGTCATCCAACTGGATGGCTCAGGTCAAAATCTGGGAGAACTGGAGAAAGAGGGAAGAGAATAGAGCAGATCTGTGTGGATTCAGGAAAACGAAATCATTCCCTAAAAGAGTCACTTTGGTGGTGTGGAAATTTGATGAATAAAATGGGCATGTGAAAGCAGCGATCGGAAAGTAGCAAAAAGGCACAGGAAATTTTCAGAACACACAAAGACTATTCTTCTTTCAATGACACCGCTCATTGTCGCGATGCTTTTAGAGAGATAATTTGTATTTCCAATTGTTCGTGTGGCCTTAAGAGCCATTTTGGAGTAGAGGCATCAGGCTAGAAAGCTGGCTGTGAGTTCTAGCTTCAAACAAAGCCAGCTGGGTGACCTTGGCCCAGTCTCTCTCTCTCAGCCCTAGGGCAAAACCACTCCTGAAAAACCTGGCTAGGAAAACTGCAAGAGCTTGTTCAGGCAGTTGTCAGGAATCAAGAGTGGCGGGAAAGGAAAGAAAAGGAAAGGAAGGGAAAGGAAAGGAAAGGAAAGGAAAGGAAAGAAGAAAAGAAAGAGGAAGAGGAAACCAAGAGGAGAGGAAAGGAGAGAGGAGAGGAA